CTTGACGACACTGGAGCCATGGTCAGGGAAGCCAAGCAGCCTGGGTCCCTTCTGACTTTCTTTCCCTCCCATACGGCTGGGAACTGTTCTGTTGTTGTGAAGTGCCATGGCGTCAGTTTGCACTTACAGTGACCCTGTATAGCGAGTGTTTCCAAGGAGTGGCTGGTGGGTTTGAACTGCCTTGGTGTGGGTCACAGTCCAGTTGTGATCCTACAGTGCCACACCAGGAGTCCATTTGCCTTTATTTCGTTGGTTTCTTATAGGGCTTTATCCTCCAGGCAGCCTCTGGAGGATAAAGAGTTTGGGAAGGTTAAGGGCTAGAACTGGGTAATTGTTTTAAAAAGCAGAGACAACAACAATAACAACACTGCAGACAACAGCTTTGGTGTAAGAGGAATTTATTGAGGCATTGCTAATATTGACTTTATAATGTTCAAGAGTTACGTTTAAATTAGTTTTTGCTAGTGGACTGTTTCTTTGATCACTTCACTATTTTGGGTCTGAGCTTTGAAGATAGTAATCTCATAAAAATTACATAGAATTACTGTACTGTGGTTGGGGGGCAGTTGTTAAGTGCCATTGAGTTGGTTCCAACTCCTAGCGAACCCTGTATAGGGTTTCCAAGGTGGTCTTTTGGTTAGCAGTCTAGTGCTTATCCAGTAGCACCACACCAGGACCCCTTTGGGGGGTAGAGACGATGAGACCATAAATATTGTCTAAGAAAGAATCCAGGAGGTTTTTTTTTTCATGGTTTACAGACAAGATCTTCAGTTTAACAAATTCAGTAAATTCTACACTGTTTCATCTCAATGACTGCAATCTCCTCCTTGGGACACAAGCTATCCCACTTCTTCCCTGTGGCTCCTGTTTCCATTCTGCCTTCCCTCCCATCCATCTCAACTGTGTTCTTAGGTAAATGTTTCCCTTTTGACTTAGAAGGACTTATCATTCCATGGTGAGTGTACCTTGCTAGTGGTGTTCGCTCCCCTTACACCCATCTATTGCATGGCTGCAAGGGAAGGTTCCTTTCCAGACCTGAAGTGTGGTCAAGGGTCATAGTCTCAGGTTCCTCCAGTTTCTTTCTGACCAGTAAACCTGTTTGTTTTTTAAAATGATTTTGAGTTTTGCTTCATATTTTCTCTCATTCTCTTTGTGACCTTCTAATGGAATCCCTTTCAGAGCAGTTGGTAGTGTGGTATAACACCTGTTCAATTATCACCGCTCTTCCTTCTTTCCCACATGATGCAACCCATAGCTGCATTTTTTTTTTTTTCTTTTATGGAAGCCAGCTGATATTTAATTTATATTTAAGTATACAGTATATGATAAGCAATTTTAATAACATGAATGTAATTTCAAATAAGCTTTTTTTTTTCTTTTAAGTTTATATTATGAATTGAATGGTAGTTTACATGGGAGAACATCAGCTTTACACTCATTGTTTCATTGCAATGACAACAGTCTTCTCTGTGCACCATCAAACAGTGTTTGCTTCTATTCCCTGTTTTGTTTTGTTTTTTTAAATGGGGGAGGGGAATGTACACAAAAACACTCATGAATATATAATCATTTAAACAACCAAAGGGCACATTCTGCAAGCCTGCCTCCTGGCCACCAGCACTCAGTCCCTCTCTTTCCATGAATCTAGAGTCCTCAGCTGCTCTATCTCTCCATGTCCTTATCTCTGCCTCCATCTCTGGTGTCACTGCATCTCTGGATAGGGTCCCACATTCCGCTTGTGCTCTTTTCTCTCGATGGTCCTAGGGTCCTGTGTTTCTGCACTGTAAGATTAACTACTACCCGATTTTTGTTGCAAAACTTCTACCTTTACAATTGTGACAGTCACAATTAGTCAGGGTAACAATTACTCACAACTGAATCATAAGAATCTTATCCTCATCGCCTGCCACCAGACCTGTCTAGACAACATGAAAACTCTTCAGTGGAGACTCTACCTTCCCCCCATACTCTTAAACTAAACTCTCGCTTAAAAATTTGTAAGCCATTCACTTTGTGCCTTATCACCCCCTCATTGTAGGTTGTTGTTAGGTGCCATCGAGTTGGCACCGACCCATAGCGACCTTGTGCCCAGCAGAACGAAACACTAACCGATCCTGGGCCACCCTCACTACTGTTGCCATGCTTGGATCCATCGATGCTGCCACTTGGCCAGTCCATCTTGTTGGGGGTCTTCCTCTTTCTCTGACCCTCCATGTCTAAATTGCCTGTCCCTATCTACCTGGTATACAAAGGGTTTAGGATTGATACCTGATGAATTTCACATAAGCTTTTGATTGAAACAAAATATTTGCTTTTATGCAATGT